TTTACAATGTTCCATTTTGCCTCTATCTTGCATAGAAAACGGTATTCAACCTTTTAATCTAATACCTTCCAAACCGAGCTACCTCCTTCCCCATGAGAAGTTCCCATTATTTGATTTTTCTTTTACTTTTTCTTATTAGAGGATGTTAATTTTCTCTACTGACTTTACTTCTGTTTGGTTTCCTACAGAAAGATAATGTATTTATGTTGCTGTGGCACATGAACATCTGCTGTAAACTTTTAGAAAACGAGTAATGTTTTTAACACTACTTAAATTTTCATGTAAATGTACATACCTCACTAACATTTTCCTTTAACACATGTATTAATCATGTATGTCTATGTACACATAATCTCCTTAGATTTGTATATTACTGTTCTAGTACTTTCTCCCAACACTATCTATAATAAACTTGTAAGATATTATTATGGGGGGAGGAATAGCTCAGTGGTTTGAGCATTGGCCTGCTAAACCCACGGTTGTGAATTCAATCCTTGAGGGGGCCACTTAGGGATCTGGGGCAAAATTAGTACTTGGTCCTGCTAGTGAAGGCAGGGGGCTGGACTCAATGACCTTTCAAAGTCCCTTCCAGTTCTAGGAGATAGGATATCTCCATTAATTTTTTATTTGGCTTTATGTTTCCATAATACTACATTATTCTAATGAATAAAGTTTAATGTTACTTTATTTAAAATACTGTGGGCCAGATTTACCAACAAGCTTTGAATCACCAGAATGGCTTAAGGCACCTGGGACATAGCTACACTTATGGTCTTTTGTGTGTGGACTGCGTATGAACCGAAACTTAGGTTTATATGTATGTATATAACAGTTGTAATATGGCCCTCTTTATGTGCAGCATATTCTGACACACTCTTCTGTCTGTCTCTCTCTGTGTGTTTATCAAAGCAACTGGATCTATTCTATATTTTTGAGATTTTATTTGTTTAAAAATATCTTGGATAGATTTTATTTAATATAGCAATTGTCAAAAAGAGTGAGGTCCTTTCTAGTTTGGGGTCTGACAGGGAACCAAAACTGTATGGGCAGGTTCTTGCATAGGGGTATAACTCTCAGACCACAGAATACATGTAACTGCCATATGCCACTCTCCGGCATCAATGAAGGGGGGAAATTGATGGGGCTGATGGTAAAAGGGGGACAATCCTGGTAGCAAGGGAGGGAGACACTGGCCAAACAACACTAGGTAGCTCCTCCCCACTGAAAGTCTCTGGCATCCATTGACCAGCTGGGAGAGAGGTGTTCTGATTAGCCAGTATTCCCCTGCTCCCAGAATTTATCTCTGTGCAGGAGCCTTGTGGTGCCTCTTTCGGCTCTGTTCCAGCAAGGAAAGGGTAATTCACCAGGACACAGAAGCAGCTGTGGTCATCATTCTCAGGATGTAAAGACAATAACAGCTTACAGGGCCTGCAGTTGAGACTGCTGTTCACATAGGGTGATGGCAGCTGCCTGACAAGGTACCAATTTGGTACAATACTGAGAAAAACCTTGTGGTGAGATTTAGTTGTACTAATGGCTAATTTCTGTGCCAGTCTGGCCCCATTGTACTGTAGGAAGCATTCGTCCTTATAGAAGGGCTGTGGATGGTACGACCATTGCTCATTGGAGGACAGCTCCAATAACTCCTCTGTTGAAGTGCCATTTGTCAAGATTGCCAAAGTGATGTGCTGAATCCAGAGCATTCTATGAGCACTTCAGTCACTCCTATGCCACATAGAGCACCACCACGTGTGGTGTTTACTGCTCAACAAGATGATCCCCAAAGGCCTGGTTGTGTATGTGTTTCCTCACAGATGGACTTGGCACAGCTGAGATCTTTGTGCTTTTGTTCCAGTGGAATTTGTGCAAATCCTGAAAAGAATCAGATCACAGATCACTGCAGATCTTAGATTGAACCACTTTATCTTGCTTCCTTTTTTTTAATAAGTGATGTAGTTTGGTGCCTGACACTCTGCAGCTGAAGCCACCATTTTGCTAAAATCAATCAGGAAATTATTATAGAAGGGAAAAATGTTACTGGACTATTAATATTAACCTTTTTACATGAACAGCTCCACCAGGAAATACAACATGGGTAGAACATACGCCATATGATAAATCACATATCCTTGGTTTTTTAAAAGAGGGACAAATCTTGGGTGCCCTGGACAGCTACTGAGCTTCTGCAGTGCCCACCATAAACCCTGAAAAGGAGCTGGGAATCCTCAGGATTTGGCCAACATTATCTTTCATCAATACTTTGAAAAATGGGCAAGCCAGCTCAGAATAACAGGGAACTGTCTCTCTTTTGTCTCTCAAACTGCAAATGAAACTCTGAGGTACAAAAAAAAGTTCAGTTAATGTAAGACCAGGAACACATATGGATTATGTCTCTGTACTTTTTTGGGGTTTCGGTGAGTGTCAAAGATGAAATACCGAAGTACCAAAAGAGAATCATAGAATCATAGAAGATTAGGGTTGGAAGAGACCTCAGAAGGTCATCTAGTCCAATCCCCTGCTCAGAGCAGGACCAACATCAACTAAATCATCCCAGCCAAGGCATTGTCAAGCCAGGCCTTAAAAACCATTAAGGATGGAGATTCCACCACCTCCCTAGGTAACCCATTCCAGTGCTTCACCACCCTCCTAGTGAAATTGTGTTTCCTAATATCCAACCTAGACCTCCTCCACTGCAACTTGAGACCATTGCTTCTTGTTCTGTCATCTGCCACCACTGAGAACAGCCTTGCTCCATCTTCTTTGCACCCCCTTCAGGTAGCTGAAGGCTGCTATCAAATCCCCCCTCACTCTTCTCTTCTGCAGACTAAATAACTCCAGTTCCCTCAGCCTCTCCTCATAAGTCATGTGCCCCATCCCCCCAGTCATTTTCATTGCCCTCCGCTGGACTCTCTCCAATTTGTCCACATCCCTTCTGTAGTGGGGGACCAAAACTGGATGCAATATTCCAGGTGTGGTCTCACCAGTGCCGAATAGAGGGGAATAATCACTTCCCTCGATCTGCTGGCAATGCTCCTACTAACACAGCCCAATATGCCATTGGCCTTCTTGTCAACAAAGGCACACTGCTGACTCATATCCAGCTTCTCATCCACTGTAATCCCCGGGTCCTTTTCTGCAGAACTGCTGCTTAGCCAGTCGATCCCCAGCCTGTAGCGGTGCATGGGATTCTTCCTTCCTAAGTGGAGGACTCTGCAATTGTCCTTGTTGAACCTCATCAGATTTCTTTTGGCCCAATCCTCCAATTTGTCTAGGTCATTCTGGACCCTATCCCTACCCTCCAGAATATCTACTTCTCCCCACAGCTTAGTGTCACTTGTGAACTTGCTGAGGGTGCAATTAATCCCATCAGATAGATGATATTTATTTGCAGTATTAGGTTCTCCAACAGGAGATCAGTGTGGTGGCTTCCTCTCAAATCCATCTGGGTCACTTTCTAGCCCATATTACCCTGGAAACGGTCTCATCACACAGTGTGTCTGGGAAATACAAATAGAATATTATCGCATAGTACTATTTGGGATCACAGTCCTTGGATCTGTCTAATAAAAAGGATACATTTTTGGTAAAAATCCTTCTTAAGACAGCTGCCAATGTTCATCTCCCAACTGTGTCTCAAAATCGAGGGTCGGCAAAAGAATCCTCTCCAAATCCTGTCACTAATCGCATCTGTTGGCTTTGCTATTAGATAAGTCTATTAAGATCTTGAAGATTAAGGACACTAGGAAATCTTGTATTGAATTAGATTGCAAGCTATGCATTTTATATTAATTGTTTTTATTTTATACACACATCCTTTTTAAAAAGGCTAAACAAATCTATCCTGGAGAATTTGATAGAAAAGTATTGAATTCAACAGCAGGAGTATAAGAGGGTGAGAAAAACCTATAGGAAGAATTGCATTCTCTACTAAATTCTGTATGTTTTCCGAATCATTTCTGAAGACCCAGTTACATTTCTATAGAAAAATAAGGGATGTCATTCCTATCAAATTCTATGGTGACTTATATGCCGGTCCAAAGTTGGGGAGTAAATCAACTGAACGGGGACACCATTGCTTTCCTATTCAATTCTAGCTCCACTTTCTAGCTGTGTCAGAACCTATTTCCCTCCAGTGTGAACTTGTTAGTTTGATTTCCATAAAATTAGGACTGTTGTCCATTTTTCTCAGGAAGGATTGATTTTTTTCCTCACTGGCTTGACTTCAAAGCCATACTTGTTTGTACACTATTGAAGTGCACAAATTTCTTAAAAGGTTCTTAAGGATTGTATAGATTATTGCTAATACTGAAGATTGTATCAAATTTTACTGTTTACTTTTTATATTTAAGAGCTTTCTATGACTCCTTCACTGGGGACCACAGGTAAAACATTTTTCATTTTACAAATATGTACTATTGTAACTATGCCATGCTATTGACGCTTCTGGGATTTCATGGTTATATCTCTGTTCAGACTCTTTTTCTTTCGTAAATTTAGGGCATCATTTAATTTTGCCCTAGGGATTTATCTCCTCCCTATCAATATTTCCCTTTGAATTTGTGTACCTAAAAAAGAGGCTATAGCCCTTAAATCCAGACCCTATTTCCTTTTCCCTATGAGTGCAAGAGTGAATCTTAAATCAATTAATTGTTTCCAACTTCCTGCCATTTCTGTTGGATCACCGAAAACTGTCTCTAAAGAAATGAATAAAATCTAATGGTATTTTTATTCAATAAAACCTGCTATATTTAACTTTTCCTACCTATTCATATAGTTTCTGCAAATATTACATCTCGGGTCAGATTTAGTTGTACTAAATGCTAATTTCTGTGCCAGTCTGGCCACTTTATCTTTATCTTGCTTCCTTTTTTAGTAAGTGATGTAATTATGTGCCTGACACACTGCAGCTAAAGCGACCATTTTGCTAAAATCAATCAGGAATTGTCATAGAAGGGAACAGTTTTACTTGACTATTAATATTAACCTTTTTACATGAACAGCTCCACCAGGAAATACATCACTGGGAGAACGTACTACATATGGTAAGTCACATATCCTTGGCTTTTAAATAGAGGGACAAATCTTGAGTGCCCCGGGCAGGCACTGAGCTTCTGCAGTGCCATTATAAACCCTCAAAAGGAGCAGGGAGTGCTCAGGATTTGGCCGATGGTATCTTTCTTCAATCCTTTGCAAAATGGGCAAAAAGGGAACTGACTCTTTTGTCTCTCAAACTGCAAATGGAACTCTGAGGTAAAAAAAAAAAGTTCAGTTAATATAAGACCAGAAATACAAATAACTTATGTCTCTGTACTTTTTTTGAGTTTCTGTGAGTGTCAAGGATGGAATACCAAAGTACCAAAAGAGAAGGAGTTTATTTATTTATTTGCAGTGTTTCCAGCCCAGACAAACCTGGAAGAACTGGATTTTTGTCCCAATGTTCAGAAATACATAGATCCAAATTGTAATCCGGACAAATTGTTAAATGAAATTGACTGACAGAATTCAACAGATGATGGGGTGTTCGGCTCTGGGGTTTTCTTTTGGGCCCACCTGTGGAAAAGAGATTCAGAATTTTAAAACAAAATTGAAATCATCTTAGTTTTACATCTTCTCGTTTTATGTTCTCCAATAGGAGATCAGTGTGGTGGCTTCCTCTCAAATCCATCTGGGTCGCTTTCTAGCCCGTATTACCCTGGAAATGGTCTCATCACACAGTGTGTCTGGCAAATACAAATAGAATACAATCGCATAGCACTTGTCTTCTCTTATGTTAGGTAAGTATGAGGAATTACCAGCATCCTAGCCTTCCGAGAACACTTATTTTATTCATGTATCTAGTATCTTGGAATTGCTGGAAATTTCCAAGACAGCAACTGCCTTGGGTCCATCTTTGTTGCACTCAGAGGAGACGGTACGGGCTGGTAGCCTTTTTTGTTGTGGTCAAGAGAGGAATATTCTCACACTCCTAGAGGCAGAAAGATTGTTTGAGTTGGAAAAGCTTATTCCCATGCTAAAAAGTCCTTTCACAACGAGACGGGCAGTGCTAGATAGCAACATTAGAGTGCTGCCCTCTGCCCCTTCTTTGGACTTGGTCTCTTACTGTAGTCATCCTCGAGGAGCTTGGAGTCCGTTGGCAGGCTGTGTGTAGAGCTGGGTGAGCTATTTTGGAAAACTAGCTTATTGGCTGAGAAATGCAATTTAATTTATTTTTACCTGAAATTATTTGTGAATTTGACACACATTCAAGGAATATTTTTATGGGTGGGGAAACCTTTTTGGGCCTAGGTTCACAAGTGGATTTAGGTACCATTCACAAAACAGTTGGAAGTGGTGGTGGCCCTAGGTTACTTTTACCCTAGTAGTTAGGGCATTCACCTGGGATGTGGGAGACCCAGGTTTGGTTCCCTCCTCTGCCTGATGTGTCGCAGGAATTTGAACGTAGGTCTTCCACCTTCAAGATGAGTTTTCTAACTATGTAGCTAACCTTTGAGTACAAAGGGGCGGGGGGCATCACCTGTTCCTCTTTTCTAAATCTATCCCTTCATTTCCTCTGCTTGTATTTTAAAAGAAAGTTTAAAATGCTCAGAAACTAAACATTTTGTTTGCCCTGAAGCAAACTTTTTGTTGACTTTTCTGATCTACTGCAATTATTCAGAATTTATGGTTTCAGTTAGCGTTGAACCAATTTTTTTCCGATATTTCTGTTTAACCAGAATTGTCAAAAACTTAAACATCAGTTATTCATCCAGCTCCAGTTCTGGGGTCAAATGTTGAGCAATGAGCGAGACTCTTCATGCATTCAGAGGCTCCAAAAGGTCCTCAGTTACTGAATATTGGATTCAGTGGAGAACAAAGTACAGTTAGAGTCTGAATGCAATGTGTAGTAGTTGGAGCAGATAGGCTGCTCCTCCTCCTCCTCCTCAAAGAGGACAGGAAGAACGGCGGATCCATTGAGGGAAGAGCGGCTCCAGTGCCTACCTTTTAGCAAATAAGTAACTTTTCATGAGGCTGCCTTTTGTGGGATTGAGGTGGAAGAATTAATTTCTAGATCAAATAAATCCCTTTGTAAAGTGATATGTGGGAGATTGGGGACAAAATTCCTAGATTTTTGGAATACAAGGATCTGTGCAATCCCTCACCTGGCATCATTGACAGAACTAATGAATGACATGGAGGTATAAAATAATGTGTCTACATTTCCCGGTTTATAAAAGATATGTTGTTAACTTACTTCCACAGTTTGAACTGCTTTCAGGAGTTTATTGAAATCTATGATGGACCCCTGTATGCATCCCCCTTACTTGGGAAAATCTGTAATGGGTCAAATCTCAGCTATGTATCATCTTCAAACACACTGACAGTTCTATTACACAGAGACTCTTATAACTCAGGATATGGGTTTTCTGCTTATTATAACTCTATGTTCCCAGGTAAGACTAAGATTTACATGTTTACTATTAATCTATTAATTTGAATTGTAATATGTGTGATTAAAGCTTGATTATTTTTATTTGCGTCTGACGAAGTGGGTATTCACCCACGAAAGCTTATGCTCCAATACATCTGTTAGTCTATAAGGTGCCACAGGACTCTTTGTTGCTATCTAATTACCATTATCTTTGATCTGCATTTTATTGCTGGTTAACATTTTATGTTAATTTGGGGCCACCGTCCTTGGATTGTCTAATAAAAAGGATACATTTGGGTATAATTCCTTGTTAACACAGCTACCATTGGTCATCCCCCATGTGTGTCTCATGACCTAGGATTGGCTGGAAATAACCCATAGAAAAATGAGTCAGGGAAAGAATCCTCTCCACATCCTGTCACTATCGCATCAGTTCGCTTTGCTATTAGGCAAGTTTGTTAAGATCTTGAAGATTAAGGACAATTAGGAAATCTTGTTTTGAATTAAATTGCAATATATTCATTTTATATTAATTGTTTGTATTTTATACACACATCCTTTTTAAAAGGGCTAAACAAATTTGTCCTGGAGAATTTGATAGAAAAGTATTGAATTCAACAGCAGGAATATAAGAGGGTGAGAAAAACCTATAGGAAGAATTGCATTCTCCACTAAATTCTGTATGTTTTCAGAATCATTTCTGAAGACCCAGTTACATTTCTATAGAAAAATAAGGAGTGTCATGCCTATCAAAGACTGTGGTGACTTATATGTAGGCCCAAAGTTGGGGAGTAAATCAACTGAACGGGAACACCATTGCTTTCCTATTCAATTCTAGCTCCACTTTCTAGCTGTGTCAGAACCTATTTCCCTCCAGTGTGATCTGTTAGTTTGATTTCCATAAAATTAGGACTGTTGTCCATTTTTCTCAGGAAGGATTGATTTTTTTCCCCTCACTGGCTTGACTTCAAAGCCATACTCGTTTTACACTACTGTAGTGCAGAAATTTGCTTACAAGTTCTTAAGGATTGTATAGATTATTGCTAATACTGAAGGTTGTATCAAATTATATTATTTACTTTTTACATTTAAGAGCTTCCTACACCTACTGCACTGGGGACAACAGGTAAAACATTTTTCATTTTACAGATATAAAACTATGTACTATTGTAACTATGCCATGCTGTTGACACTTCTGGGATTTCATGGTTATATCTCTGTTCAGACTCTTTTCCTTTTGTAAATTTAAAGCATCATTTAATTTTGCCCTAGGGATTTATCTCCTCCCTATCATTATTTCCCTTTGAATTTGTCTGCCTAAAAAGAAGGCTAGAGACCTGTAAATCCAGAACATATTTCCTTTTCCCTATGAGTGCAAGAGTGAATCTTAAATCAATTAATTGTTTCCAACTTCCTGCCATTTCTCTTGGATCACCGAACACTGTCTCTATAGAAATGAATAAAATCGAATGGTATTTTTATTCAATAAAACCAGCTATATTTACCTTTTCCTACCTATTCTTATAGTTTCTCCAGGTATTATATCTCGGGTCAGATTTAGTTGTACTAAATGCTAATTTCTGTGCCGGTCTGGCCCCATTGTGCCGTAGGAAGCATTCATCCTTATAGAAGGGCCGTGGGTGGTACCACCATTGCCCATTGGAGGACAGCTCCAATAACTCCTCTGTTGAAGTGCCATTTGTCAAGATTGCCAAAGTGATGTGCTGAATCCAGAGCATTCTATGGGCACTTCAGTCACTCCTGTGCCACATAGAGCACCACCACGTGTGGTGTTTACTGCTCTCCAAGATGATCCCCAAAGACCTGGTTGTGAATATGTTTCCTCACAAATGGACTTGGCACTGTTGAGATCTTTGTGCTTTTGTTCCAGTGGAATTTGTGGAAATCCTGAAAAGAATCAGATCACAGATCACTACAGTTCATAGATCGAACCACTTTATCTGGCTTCCTTTTTTAATAAGCGATGTAATTTTGTGCCTGACACACTGCAGCTGAAGCCACCATTTTGCTAAAATCAATCAGGAATTGTCATAGAAGGGAACAGTTTTACTTGACTATTAATATTAACCTTTTTACATGAACAGCTCCACCAGGAAATACAACACAGGGAGACAGTACTACATATGGTAAGTCACATATCCTTGGCTTTTAAATAGAGGGACAAATCTTGAGTGCCCCGGGCAGGCACTGAGCATCTGCAGTGCCATTATAAACCCTCAAAAGGAGCAGGGAATGCTCAGGATTTGGCCGATGGTATCTTTCTTCAATCCTTTGAAAAATGGGCAAAAAGGGAACTGACTTTCTTTTGTCTCTCAAACTGCAAGAATACAAATAGCTTATGTCTCTGTACTTTTTTGGGTTTGTGTGAGTGTCAAAGATGAAATACCAAAGTACCAAAAGAGAAGGAGTTTATTTATTTATTTATTTATTTATTTGCCGTGTTTCCAGCCCGGACAAACCTGGAAGAACTGGATTTTTGTCCCAATGTTCAGAAATACATAGATCCAAATTATAATCCGGACAAATTGTTAAATGAAATTGACTGACAGAATTCAACAGATGGTGGGGTGTTCGGCTCTGGGGTTTTCTTTTGGGCCCACCTGTGGAAAAGAGATTCAGAACTTTAAAACAAAATTGAAATCATCTTAGTTTTACATCTTCTCGTTTTATGTTCTCCAATAGGAGATCAGTGTGGTGGCTTCCTCTCAAATCCATCTGGGTCACTTTCTAGCCCGTATTACCCTGGAAACGGTCTCATCACACAGTGTGTCTGGCAAATACAAATAGAATACAATCGCATAGCACTTGTCTTCTCTTATGTTAGGTAAGTATGAGGAATTACCAGCATCCTAGCCTTCCGAGAAACTTATTTTATTCATAAATCTAGTATCTTGGAATTGCTGGAAATTTCCAAGACAGCAACTGCCTTGGGTCCATCTTTGTTGCACTCAGAGGAGACGGTACGGGCTGGTAGCCTTTTTTGTTGTGGTCAAGAGAGGAATATTCTAACACTCCTAGAGGCAGAAAGATTGTTTGAGTTGGAAAAGCTTATTCCCATGCTAAAAAGTCCTTTCACAACAAGATGGGCAGTGCCAGATAGCAAAATTAGAGTGCTGCCCTCTGTCCCTTCTTTAGACTTGGTCTCTTACTGTAGTCATCCTCGAGGAGCTTGGAGTTCATTGGCAGGCTGTGTGTAGAGCTGGGTGAGCTATTTTGGAAAACTAGCTAATTGGCTGAGAAATGCAAAAGGTCCTCAGTTACTGAACATTGGATTCAGTGGAGAACAAAGTACAGTTAGGGTCTGAATGCAATGTGTAGTAGTTGGAGCAGATAGGCTGCTCCTCTTCCTCCTCCTCAAAGAGGACAGGAAGAGCAGTGGATCCATTGAAGGGAAGAGCGGCTCCAGTGCCTACATTTTAGCAAATAAGTAACTTTTCATGAGGCTGCCTTTTGTGGGATTGAGGTGGAAGAATTACATTTCTAGATCAAATAAATCCCTTTGTAAAGTGGTATGTGGGAGATTGGGGACAGAATTCCTAGATTTTTGGAATACAAGGATCTGTGCAATCCCTCACCTGGCATCATTGACAGGACTCATGAATGACATGGAGGTATAAATAATGTGACTATATTACCCAGTTTATAAAACATATGTTGTTAACTTACTTCCACAGTTTGAACTGCTTTCAGGAGTTTATTGAAATCTATGATGGACCCCTGTATGCATCCCCCTTACTTGGGAAAATCTGTAATGGGTCAAATCTCAGCTATGTATCATCTTCAAACACACTGACAGTTCTATTACACAGAGACTCTTATAACTCAGGATATGGGTTTTCTGCTTATTATAACTCTATGTTCTCAGGTAAGACTAAGATTTACATGTTTACTATTAATCTATTAATTTGAATTGGAATGTGTGATTAAAGCTTGATTATTTTTATTTAATAACCATTATCTTTGGTCTGCATTTTATTGGTGGTTAACATTTTATGTTAATTTGAGACCACAGTCCTTGGATTTTTCTAATAAAAAGGATACATTTGAGTAAAAATCCTTCTTAAGACAGCTGCCAATGTTCATCCCTCAACTGTCTCAAAAGCTAGGGTCAGCACATAAAACTGAGTCAGGGAAAGAATCCTCTCCACATCCTGTCACTATCGCATCAGTTCGCTTTGCTATTAGACAAGTCTGTTAAGATCCTGAAGATTAAGGACACTTAGGAGATCTTGTATTGAATTAAAGTGCAATATATTCATTTTATATTAATTGTTTGTATTTTATACACACACCCTTTTTAAAAAGGCTAAACAAATCTATCCTGGACGATTTGATAGAAAAGTATTGAATTCAACAGCGGGAATATAAGAGGGTGAGAAAAACCTATAGGAAGAATTGCATTCTCCACTAAATTTTGTATGTTTTCCAAATCATTTCTGAAAACCAGTTACATTTCTCTAGAACCATTAGGGGTGTCATGTCTATCAAAGGCTGTGGTCACTTATATGTAGGCCCAAAGTTGAGGAGTAAATCCACTAAACAGGGACACCATTACTTTCTTATTCAATTCTAGTTCCACTTTCTAGCTGTGTCAGAACCTATTTCCCTCCAGTGTGATCTTGTTAGTTTGATTTCCATAAAGTTAGGATTGTTGTCCATTTTTCTCAGTGAGGATTGTATAGATTATTGCTAATACTGAAGTTTGTATCAAATTTTACTGTTTACTTTTTACATTTAAGCATCTTCTACAGCTGCACCGATTGAAATTTTTGGATGAGAGAGAGGTGGAGAGGAAATGCTATGTTGTTATACTTCCATGCACCTCGCATTCTGAAAGTGAGGTTCCTTTATATGTGATAGGAATCTGGCCTGGAATCACATCTGTTTGTTTTTCTGGGATTTTATTTCATTTTTGAAATCACAAATGGAAATTCTCACATTTTCACTCATGCTCAAGGAAAGAGCCTATATTATACCAAAATATTAGTGTGTATTAACTAAAGAGAGAGGCCAAGGAAGGGGGTGGTGGTATTTTTTTGTATCTGGATTCAAAATGGCTTTGGTTTGGAGATCATGCTCATAAACTATGCTCAGAGAGTAGTTTACAGTTTTATTTAACAAAGATGGTTGCTAATTTTGCTTCCTTTTGTTTTGTGGATACAGCTCTTCCAAGTACTCCACCAACCACTATAAATTGTAAGTCTGGTCTTATATTGGCTTTACTGTTGTTTTTTCTGAAGTCTGTGTTAAGCATCCAAACTTTAACTGTGTCTCAGAATCTTTTGAGCTGCCACCAGTTGCATACCCCATCTCCCCAACACACTTAGCTCTGTTAGGGAGACTCCTAGATGAGAGCTTCCTTTTCTTTACATGACTACTCTACTTGCATTTTGACATCTACTGTGGCATTCCGCTCCCTCTGTATTAGGCTCCAGGTTGCCTACACTGTGTTAATTATAACAAGCTCTGGAGGCTGGTGTGCCTCAAACTGAGCTGTGAGCCCAAGCCCATTAAATGCAAAATGGAATCATCTGGGGCCCAGCTGAGAGACAAAGGGACTCTATGAGAGATGTATAAAAGTGTAAGGGAAACCAGTGGAGGAAATGACAGCAGTGTAGAGTGGATTTCTGTATGTGAAGGTTTAAGGAGGGCACTAGAGGTCCACGAGGAAGGAGCCAGGAACACATTTGGTGTCAGCTTAGTAAAGAGAAGCAGAGCCTGATTAGGTAGATTCTTTTAAAGCAAACTTTCCTGAACCTTCTTGTGTATGTACCTCTTATTGACCTTGTGTATATACCTTTTTGGAGTATAAGCATGCAACCCTTAGTTGAAATGTGCTCTGAGAGATTTAAACTATTGATGGGCAATCTTGCTTGTACGAAGTGCATTTTCATTTATGTGGAGGTGCTGTGCATAATCAGATTTATTTTATGTATTCCTGTGATCATGCAGAAACAGATGTTGAGGAGTGCAGAATTAATGTATGGTCCAGAACCTCACCCCTCATTTGGGGGGTGTGGTGCATCTGGCGCAGGGCCAAGCTTCAAGCAAACTGCCTGAAGGGGGCAGCTAGGGATTTCCCTGGCCCAGTAACACCTGGCTAGCACAAAACCACCATAACACTCTACTCCACTCACTCCTGGCTCTGGTGTAGAGGGTGTGATGGGAAAGGCTAGAAGAGGCAAGGCCAGAGTACACTGTGCTCTGACGATCCTCACCCACATAATGGCTCCTAGGGGTCATTACAAGCTGGTGGAAGTTTAAGCGGTCCTTAGGCTTCTGCAACTTGTGCCAAGGCATGTATGGCCACCTCTTTCTCTTTCCCCAGCAGCTGTATTGAGGTCTCTTCTGAATAAACAGATTAAATATCTTCACTGGAAATAAAACCAAAAGGAATTCTAAAATATACTGGTTTTTGTTCCTCTTAGCAATAAATGGCTCGTGTGGTGGCTACCTTTCCACAGCTGCTGGATCATTCTCTAGTCCATTCTTTCCTGAAAACTATCCAGTGAATGTAAAATGCATCTGGAGAATAGAAGTCAAGAACAATTATTATATCAGACTCATCTTTAAGCATCTTGAGTAAGTAAAATATTAGGTATTGAACTGCAGTTTAGCCTTCAGAGAACTTGATATAAAGTGATGACTTCCACTTTCCATATTTGTTTGGCCTTTTTTTTTTTAAGATTTTGATCTTGCATAGAAGAGCCTTATAATCTTACTGACCTCTTTAAACTATTTGATTTTGAGTTTTGAAAGGTGTTCCATTGCTTATGTTTCTTATGAATTTTATTTTATTTCATTATTAAAGTCTCCAATCAACCAAATACAGTAGAAGGTCTGATCTGGCAATCTAGTAGCTGACCAACTTACTACCATGCAAGAGTCTCGTTTGGTCCTTTTTCTCCTTCGATAGCTGGCACTGGAAATGCTGCAGAGGCAGCCTACCTCTCTCTGGATCCTATCAAGCAAAGCATTTAAGCACATAGTAGTCTATGGGACTACTCTGGTGCTTAAAATTAAACACATGTTTAAGTACCTTGACAGTTCTGGGCCTCTGTGGTCAAGCCATATGTCTCATTTGTGGAGCAGCACTGAATGGGAAATGTTAGCCAACTTTCCTGGTCTGGAAGAACCTTTTTTTTTTTGGCATGACCGCTTGATGGTGAAGGAAGTCAGGCTAAAGCAAGTGGGAAGATTTTTGGAGTCATCAAAGGGTTTGAATAGCTCACAGGGCAGTGGGAAGCATAGTTTTGTTTTTCTTTAAAAACAGAACTAGAAAAATCTTTTTTAATGTTAGCCAAGCACAGATTCAATGTTTTTACTATCTTTAACTCGGCTAATATGCTATGAGCATTGTATAGTCCTACAAGTTGTATGGGTATTTTTGGAAGAATAAATAAATGTTAGCTACTGTAGCATCGAGGTGACATGGTTTTGTGGTTGAATCCAAACTTGATCTATGTGAGATATATAACAAAGCAATAGTTTGTGAATAAGCTTGATTGTCTACTGCTTGATCTTTATAGTCCCTGTTCTGTAAGTGAGTCTTCAGACTCTGTGGCTGTCAGTCCAACACCTTCTACAAACAATGCAATCACATTTAAAAACACATTTTTAAAAGAAAAAAGAATATATACACACCCCTTTGACTTATGTCAAACGTTCCTCTCCAGATCTCACTGTTTGTCTCCATTGCATATCATTCTTTGCAGAAACTGTGCAGAATATGCAACAGAGCTCTAACTGGCAGATCTGGGAGGAGAATTTTGCCATAGATTTGCATTAGTTCACCAAATCATTTTCTAGCCCAAATATTGCTGTTAGCTTATCTTATCAACAAAGGCGTAAGTGTTCACGCTGTTATATATTCATTTAGTACTAGGTTCCTCTGAAGTCTACAGGAATCAGTTCATTCCAACCTCATTTCACTCATTTTGAAAACTATTTTCTAACTGATATTGCTTTAGAGTAACACAAAATAACTTTATCTCCACAGGCTAGAAGCTTCATATAATTGTGCTTATGACTTTGTTGAAGTCTATGATGGTCCTCTCAATACATCTCCTTTACTTGGGAGGATTTGTGATGGTTCAAATTACACATTTACATCATCTTCAAATACAATGACTGTTCTGTTTTCAAGTGACTTTAGTTATACAAGAAGTGGATTCAGTGCTTACTATGATTCGTTTCCAGAAAAGAACAATGATACAGGTAAGCTTGCCTTAAATATAGCAATGTTCCTATTGGTAAGGTAACAATAAGGACCTGATCAAGCCAGTGAAGTCAATGGAAAAACTCCCATTCATTTAGATCAGCCTGACATTGGATCAGGCTAAATTTAATATCTTGCAGTGTTCTAGCTAAGTTGGTTCCAGGATATTAGAGAGACAAGGTGGGTAAGGTAATATCTTTTATTGGATCAATTTCTGCTGGTGAAAGACAAGCTTTTGAGCTTGCCCAGAGGTTTTAAGTCAGGAACCAGTTGATTTTTAATTATAGTAATGTTTGGATACATATCTAAAATTAATATGAACCTTTCCTTTCATCTCATCATTTAGCACTGTCATGTTCTGGACAATATATGCGTGCAGTCATTAACAGAACCTATCTGCAGTCATTGGGCTACAATGCTTGGGATGTTTATCTGAATGACTCATCCTGTGGGCCACAACAGATCACGGAAACCTATGTTATATTCAACATACCTTTTAATGGATGTGGTACAATAAGACAGGTGAGAAATGTACTTTTTATTCATATGTCACTTTTGCATGTGAACACACCTTTAGTTGAACAAAGCAATTTAAATTAGTTTTGAACAAAAATGATCAGTCAAACCATTCACTTTAAAAGGCCATAATTTAGATACAGAAATATTTATTTAAAAATGCTCATCCTATGTTCGAGGTGATTAGTATATTTGTTGTGCATGAGTTTGTCTAACCACTTTACTGACAATTAGGAGCCCTGACTTTAAAAAAAGAAGATCTTGAGGGGAAATTACAATAAACACAGAACCCGGTCACTTCATATTTGTCAGGATGACTCAAGGTGTTGGTAGCATGGATGGGTGAAGAGCCTTTGACCTCTTGGTCACATTTGTGAATGTTGCCCAGGTCAGTGGTGTCTGGAAAAACTCCATCTGGTAGTGTCAGAGGGTGTGCCCTCAGCTACCTTGCATTGCCTGGCCTGTTTGCATGGTCTCTTATTCATGCTATACATACAATGTGTATCTTTAGATTCACAGCACTGCAGAACATAGTATAAGCATGTGTCAGGAAGAGTCTTCCATCCAGCTTTCTCTACCTCATCCAGCTCACTCTCTGAGCTCCCCACTTCCTGTTCCTGCCAATTATGTATCATCCCTTACCGAGCTAATTACCCAGATAGCCCAATCATTGCCCCCAAGTGTCAATTTCCACCATAATAGGTAAATTGCCTCCAATTTAGCCCATAATCTTCTTTGTTAGGCAATTACCTACAAGACCATGGTGCTACAGCTAGGGCTATGTCTATACTACGCACCTTTTAGTGACACAGCTGTGCCACTACAGCCATGCCACTAAAAGGTGCACAGTGTAGACGCTCTTTATCGGCAGGAGAGAGCTCTCCCGCTGACAAAATAAATCCACCCGCAACAAGAGGCAGTAGCTTTGTTGGCAGGAGAGCTCTCCCACTGACAAAGCACTGTCCACTCTAGCGCTTTTTGTCAGTAAAACTTTTGTCATTTGGGGGCGGGGGATTCACATCCCTGAATGACAAAAGTGTTATCAACGAAAGTGCAGTGTAGACAAAGCGTAGCACTCTGTCACAGGTAGACAGTGGACAAAATCCCCTTGAATTTTAGGGGAGAGGGTAATATTTGAATCCCTAAACCCGAACTCTTTCTTTTACAAGTCCTGGGAAGATGTACAACCAGAAGGGACTGATTCTTTGGTTCTGTTTCAGATGTGGCCAGACTCTGTCAAGAGTAGACGAAGGGGGAGAAATCTACCTCATCCCTAAAAGTGGCCCTTCTTTGTCAGGGTTGAGACCTCACTGTAGAGGATTGGGGGAAATCAGCTATCATTCTGTGGATAAACAGAGTAGCTTAGACTCCAGGACTGTCAGTTGGCACCTTTCACGAGCAATAAATTCATTCTAAAATCAAAACATGTAAAGAACACTTTGATTAAATATGTACATCCTGGCCATGGACCACTAAGGTGTGCAAATGTAATTCATCATGTATGTAGTTTACAAACTATTGCAGAAGGGGCATTAATTGAGCAGCAGGTGCTAATACAGAAGCTGAGCAAAACTAATAGTACAATGTTTCTTTTCTTATGTCATTTTGATAAAGCACCTACATGAATTAACCATCAGAAGTGTATGCTGAGTAGCTAGAATACTACTATATAAAAACAGATAGTGGCCTGAACAAAAATCCCTGTAATTTGGGTGCTGAAGATAAATCCAAACTTTGTCAATAGGCCCTGTCTTTATAATGGACTGAACAAAACTCCTATATCTGAACTACCATAGACTTTGGGATGTCTGAAATCCAGATCCAGAACTGACTTTCATAGAATGAACATCTGATCTCTAATAAAATAAATAGAAAAACAAAGTTCAGTGAATTTATAAAAGTGCCTTCAGAGAACAGGTTTTATGTTAGCTCTGGGAGCTCTGCTACACCTTGTCTTAAAAGTGAATTTATGGCTCTTGCTCTTCAGATTAGTGACAAATTCGATGTGTTCCAGAGCACTTGTATCGCCTTGAAAGGTAGTCACTTGTTAGACCCTGCTGGTGAGGGTTAGGGTGATCATCAATAGTGTTATGCCAAACCACAAAATATATATTAACCAAAAATGTGCAAACTCCCCATTCTCCTGGAATGTAGGAGGAATTGAGCAAGAGAGAAGCAGTGGTGCTTTGACAAGAGATTCCAATCAGTGGACTAAGGTGTGCATTTTACTAATGACTAAATTTTTCAGTGGGCTGTTTATGTCAGAACCAAATTAAAGGTGCAACATCAATTTGAAAATCCTGTTGGAAAATTGTATACCTAATATGTTACAAGTAAGTGAAACCTGAGATTACGCAAATGGGGTGGGGGAGAATACATCTATTTTTTTCAACTTGTTTGCTTTCTGCATTGGGCAGAATTTGTGTATAATCAATGTTCCATGGCATAGTCGGTCCCTTTCTGAAAAGACCATAAACATCAACAAAGAAGCAGAAAAATTCTTCTAATATTTTTAAGTAATTAGAAGCAAAAATAAATAAATAAATAAAAATAAAAAAATCAGAACATACTATTTAAAGAGTGTTCTTTGGGAAACTAGATTAAAAAAAATTAGCTAGTTTTTAAAAAACTCAAGTTGACAGTGTCTTTTTATAAAATCAATTATTTCAACTGCAATATTTTGAAACATTTTATTCTCTCATATTTTCACAGGTGAAAAATAACACTATCACCTATTCCAATGTAATCAGAACATCTCCTTCTGGTTATATTATCACAAGGGAAAATGACTTTCAGTTTCACGTTACCTGCAAAATGAACCAGGACACAATGGTAGAAATAATGTACGTTGCCAAAGGTGCTATTGACATACGTGAAACCCAGCATGGCAGATATGACGTGAATATTTCATTTTATGAATCATCAAATTTCTCAAATCCAGTTTACAATTCCCCATACTATGTTGACTTAAACCAGGATTTATTCCTTCAAGCCACTCTCTACAGTTCCGATTCCAACCTGGTGCTGTTTGCAGACACATGCATGGCATCTCCATATTCTGATGACTTCACAAACCTGACTTATGGTTTAATCAGGAATGGGTAAGGACTTTTAGTTATAAAGAAGTTATACCTAAAGTTATAAGTGTATCTTTCTTTCTGCTTTTATTGCTTGCATTGCAGCAGTAAAGCAGACATATTTACTCTGATTCCTCCATGTGTGTTAGTGGAGCAATTCTGATTTATTTTGGTTTTGTTTTTTTGTTACAGATGTGTAAGAGATTCCACCTACAGCTCATACTATTCACCAATGGGATACATTGTTCGTTTCAAATTCAATGCCTTCAAGTTTCTCAACAGACATGCTGCCATTTACTTGCAGTGCAAGATAGTTGTATGCAGGGCATATGATTATTCTTCTCGATGCTATCAGGGATGTTTAGCGAGGCGCAAGAGGGATACAAGTCCTTACCAGGAAAAAATAGATGTTGTTGTGGGGCCAGTCCAGCGTAAAAAAGAAACCAATGAGGACAAAAAATCTGGTAATTTATTTTTATGGCCTTTTCTCTTGCTGTATCTGTTAAGTATTATTTTACAATATCATTGTGGGGGGAAAAGAACTAGGTGGCCTTCTTTCTGGCAGCCAAAGTAACATCGAAGGCCCAAATTCAGGCCCGCTGACAGAAGCTGACTATACAGACAGCCTTTACATAGAACAGTACAGGCCAGGGCCTGAACAAAACTAAGCTGTACAAGCCCCTGCCAAATACAGTCATGGGCTATGACCAGAGGAGGGAGGGGGAGGAAGCAATGCAATAGGCCTTAGCAACAGAATAACTGCTTGTTTATGAAATACATGATAACTGCCTGTCTGTAAGAACACAATAACCGCTTGTTTATAAAACATAATAACTGCCTATATGATGAAATTGCTTCTAGTAAAGGTCAACTTCCCCTATAATTCCAGCTATCTGCCAACCAGCTAATCATATATCATCTTTGGGCATCCCGTAATAAACCCCTATGACCCCGGAAAAAAACAATATGTACCCTGATGAGAACAACACTCCAGCTGGTGCTAAGTACCACCCATGTCGGAAACCACCAAGAAACCCCCCCACACACACCCAATAAGCACCCAATTCTCGTAAATAATGAGGGAGCTACCGGGAAAAAGGGACAGACCCCTACTCTTATTTTCGCATAAATGACGTATTATTTGTACAATGCTTGCGGTTTGATGGAATAAAGGCAGCCTGCGTGCTGTGCTAGGTGTGGTAGTTTTCGGACTGCTACCCCAACGCGTTGGTACGTTTTGCAATAAACTGGCCTCAGGCTTGAGTCTGTGAACTAAAATCAATGCATGGGTGACTTTTTCCACGACACATTTAAGTATCACATTTCAGTATGTCCTATTCTTTGCCTGCTTCCTTATCATGAATTCTGAACAGGAGTGTGCTAAGGGACAAGCCTTTTTCTTTGTGAACGCAATTTGATGGGAAAAAGGAGTTAATCATGGAAGTATCCAGAAATTTTTCAAGCATCCGTTATTCCCGCAAAAAAATCTCCACCCTACTGTCAGTTTATGTCATAAAATGATTACATGCTGATAATCTGCTTTTCTTTATAATGCCTTCTCTAAACAAATCTGTAATGTGTACTTTTTCCTTCTTCAAATCCCTCTTCAAGACCCACTTCTGCTTTGACAGCTAGAAAAACCCAGCGTTGGCTGTGCTATTATTTATTGATAAACTTAAATTCAGATTATTCAGAAACATCAGTTTAGCTCACCTCAGCTTAGATACACCTATTTGTTTAACTGCCGTTTGTATTGCTTTCACCCTGGTCTCTCACTCTCTCCTTTTCTTCTGTTTGTTACTCACCTGTTGCACCTTGTTTCACATTAATTAGCTTTTTGGTTCAGAGGCCTTATCTTCCGAGTGTTTGCATAGTGCATAGCATAATGAGAACCCAGTCCTAAATGGAGCTGTAGGCGTTACAGTAATGCAACTAATAATGGTGGTGATCATCATTATTATAAATGTGAATGGACTTGTTTACAGACTTATTCATGATTACAGAAAATAATGGTGTACTGGTCTTTTACTGTAGGATAAGAGCGAATGCTTGATCAAAATATTGGCTTACAGGGGAAACAAATGTCTCTCAGAATTGGTAATAGGGCATTTCATTTCACTTTCACAGATGCTAGTTCAAATTTAGTCTGAACCTCTAGCCCCTGAACGTTGTTACCATTTGATTGCTTGTCAACGGGCTGTGTAAAATAAATTGGTGGCCTTGGTCTGGGTAATTACATTACAAACACCATCAACAATTGGAACTTTTGTGATAGTCCTCAGAGACCTCATGATGCTAATGAGCACAGACTGAGCTATCGTCTTATCCCTAGAACTGGTTGATGGTCTTCCAGGTCGCGGTTGAGACACACTGACAAAGCAATGTGAGATATTGGCATTGCTGTTGTTTTGTGTTGCACCTAAGCATAAGATGTTAAACTCCAGAGTTGTCTATCGGTCATTTTTAACATATGCTGCATTTGCTTGTGCTATTTTACTTTAACAGACATTAAACAATTTGCTCTTGTTTTCAAAACTAAATTTATCAGTATGACACTTTTGGTCAGACTATTATGATTCTTAATGGCAATGAATTTTTTACCTTTAAATCTCAACGGTGTCCTTGATGCTCTATCACTCTAGCACCTCCTGTAAGATTAAGTCAGATAAACTCTCCCTCTCATTTACAGATCCACACAAGAGAGAGTTTCTGGAAAAAGACGACGTACACAGCCCATTTGTTCTTGTCACTCTGCTCTTGGCAGGAGTTGTTTTGGTTCTCACTGGGGCCCTTTTGAGAAGTAAACTGAGGAGAAGCACTGAGTATCAAGTGCTATGAGAGTATCCCAAGGCATCACATGAGGTGGCTCAGCCTCATTCTTTCATGAATGTATTCAATGTTGAACATTTGCACAATGATTTAATAGATAACATAGTAAATTAAAAAGGAAAGTACTTGGCTTTCAAAGGTCAACAATAAATGTACAGAACATGCTCTAATATGCAGAGATGTGTTCCACTAAACCTGATTTGGATGCACTTTAAATGAAGAGTCTCAAATAGGGCTTGAGGAAAATAAATCTTCAGTTTTGTGTGTGCAGACAAAAGTGCACATGCACCAATTGTACCTGCAATATCTTGTCTTCGTACACACAAATGGACATGGATATGTTCAAAGTGGGTAACTGTGCAGGCAGTAGATGGGTACACAATTATTTGATTCTTGCAGCATTTGGTGATTTCCTAACATGATTAGTGCATTTGTATTTTGGTTACAGTGATCAGTCTGAATATGTTTGGGAAGGTTTTGACTAGGTCAGTTGTAGAGAAAGGACAGCTGTGAAACTCTGATCTGGACATTGGGGGTGTTGAGTTCTGTGGATTCAGGTTGGAGCCATCTCTGCATTTAACTAGCACAAGTAAGTGTATTTCTCTGGAAGTAACATGAAAATTCCTGCCCTTGTTAATTTAGTAAACACTTGATTATTAAAGTGATACATCTTGAAATCCAACAGTTGTTTAGCATAGGGATGTATATTAAGTTTTTATTATACCTAATTAAACACATAATCAATCAGTATAAATAGTTTAAAATATAATAAATGTATTTAGGATGTAATTACAAATGAAAGTCTGTATGAGTGTATTTTGTTTCTGATTAAGATGCAAAACCGACATCAAATAAAATGCTAAAACTCTGTCAATGAACTGCGTGTTTATTTTTTACCTTAGATAGGGAAAGCATGGCATTAGATAGAATTGCATCTTATTTCTTTTTAGGCTAAATCGGCACTCCACAACTAAGCCATCCACACACAAATAAGTCTGATTCAGGTCAGCAAGCAATCAAGACTTGGGTCCTCGGACCCTGCTAGGAGGATGGGAGAAAGCCCGAGTCCCATTTTGACTCTGGTCCAAGCCCTGTCATTTTGCAGAGTGGACTCATGTCAAAAGGTCTGCATAGTCCAGCATGGATGCATTGGCACTGAAACCCGAGTCCATCAATTGTGGACCTAGGTTTACAATTCAGTATGGATGCTCAAGCTCTGACTTAGTGTACAGTGTAGACATGTACATACATTTTATTAATGTGAATTTATAGCTACTTTTCTACCACTAATCCCCATTTAGGTGCAATAATCTAGTATCTAATAAATGTAAAAAAAATAGGTAAAAACATTCACGTTATAGATCTGCTTTGAGTAGAGGAAAACCACTCCCACAAGGGTAGTATTCTCTCTTTCCCCTACATCCAGCTATGGTCTGACGTTTTTGTTGCTCATGGTCTAATTTAGGCCCTGATTTCTATAGGGTTACTCTTGTGTGTAAACATTTTCAGGAGGGGCATAAAATTATAGGCTCCTCTGATCTGGGACCTTGTCTGCTTATATGCCTGTAAAGCACAATCCACAATAACAAATGGCTAATTCCTGCAGCCTTTACATGCAGAATATGGCCCAACATTTTAAATAAAAAGTTCATTGATGCTTATTCTGAAAAATCCTGCGCTCCAACTTCCCACGCTATGCACTGTGCAGAACTTTCAGATGGACCGAATATAGTGAGTAGGTAGCATGATGGTAAATGGAATTCAGTGTTGACTAATACAAGGTAATGTATGTTGGAAGGAATCATTGGAGCTTATCATACACAGCTAGGGTGACC